TGAGTGACTGAACTGAACTGAATTGAACTGATTCACAGATCTGGATATATCCAGAACATCTGGCAAATCTGGATTTACAGAATGAAACATGTTGAGAACATTCCATTTTGCTATATCCAGCACTGAATTACTACAGACATGTTCCCTATCTCCCTATAAAGAAAGTCTTTGTCTGAAAATTGTGCTTAAAACCAAACTAAACCTGAACACTTGAATAACATCATACTGTATCATCTCCCACTGATATCCAGGGAGGGCAAGACTTGGTCTCGTATCAATAGGTACTTTTCCCATAAAATGTTCCAGTATCTCCTGGGTCTCCAAATAGTACAGATCTTGGTAGGATGAAATTAATCCGTAGTGGCCCAGCTTGATATAGACCCATGGTTACTTGCTGCAACCATGGCTATTTGGGTTACAGAACATCACTGAAATTACTGAGTTGAGCTGCTCACAGAACCTAACTTGCACCAGAGAACCCAGGCTGACCATGCCTAGAATGGGCTGGATGGGCAGGGCTAAAGCAATAAAGAATCCACACATCTTCAACTCCACTCTTGGCTCTTTTTCTATGCTTAAGTTTTTCCTTCTAGGGTCCCAAATGCCCACCTAATCCTCTGCGTATGCTGTTTCCTCTGCCTGGAAAGTCTTTTCCCTCATCACCCACATGGGAAGCTCAACACAGTCCTGTAACCACTGCCCTTTCTCACCCCTGTGTCCCCAGTGCCCAAGGTAGAGTTTGGCTATGATTAGGTGCTCAGGGTTCCATGAGTATTTGTGGCAGAAATACATGAATGAACATCTGAGTGAAGAAAAGAGGAGAAAAGCCGTTATTTGTCATCCATGAAGCAGCTTACAAAATAATCTGCTGATTAAACAGAGGATTTCCTTAAGAATTTAAAGCTTTTGGCAACAGAGGTTAGTGAAATAATATAATTTAAAATGTTGAACAAATGTTTAACATCATATGGTCAAGTAATGCTTATCAAAATTTATTATTTTGGATTACAAAAAGATCTTCACTTTTTTTTAGAAAAATAAAGTACCATAATGGAGACCATTTCCTATAATTAGAAACAATAACAAAAATTGAAATGTAAACTAGGAAAACTTCGTTAGACACCAAATATGCTGGTGCCATGATTTAGACTTTTCAGCTTCTATAATGTGAAATAAATTTCTGTTGATGACAGTCCACACAGTTTGTGGTATTTTTGCAGCCTGAATGGACTAAGAAATTGTATATAATAAAACAATACCTTTCAGATTTCATAAAATCTAAAGACTTGATACAAAACTTCAAGTGCTGAAAACAGAGCAGATATTTCTGTCTCTCTTTCTCATATATAGAGATGGCACAAATTGAAAATAATAAAGAATACATAAGTAAAGATACAGAGGGAAGCAAATCTTCAAAGCTGACATTTCCAGAATGTTGTGTAAGGAAATATAGAGAAGAGCAGTGGGTAACAGCCCTGTTCTGACTCTAGGTCACCTTCCCGTTACCTCATGTCACCCTGCCAACCCTCGTGAGCAGCACAGTCTATCCTATCCTGGTGACCTGTTCATCACAAGTGCAAGAAACAGAAAATTGACATCTAGGTTGGCCAAAGGGCCAGTAGCCAAGGTTTCAGTATAGAGATTGTATAGGGCTAGAAAGGTCACTCTGGCATGGCCACCAAGATAAATTTTCTCTATAGGATGAATGGGGACCACACTGATCCCCTCAGTTGGCAAAATTTATAGGCAGTGAAGGGTGAGAAACAGTGAAGGATGAGGAGCCCAGTGTAAACACACCAGGAATTGTTCCACAAAGTCCTTTCTTCCTCAATACTTTCCCATGGTAATCCAGGGAGTCCTCAGATTTGTTACACAGGGAATAATGGCTCAGAAATAGATCTTAGGGAAAGAAGAGTCCTTCCTATGTAGAATTCTAAGACTGAAAAAAAGTCAAAGTGTTAGTTGTTCAGTCGTGTCCAATTCTTTGGGACCCCATGGACTGTAGCCTGCCAGACTCCTCTGTCCACGGATTCTCCAGGCAAGAACATTGGAGTGGATTGCTATGCCCTTCTCCAGGGCATCTTCCCAACCCAGGGATCCATCCAGGGTCTCCCGCATTGTAGGCAGATTCTTTTACCATTTGAGCTAACAGGGAAGCCCAAGACTAGCCCACAAATAACCCAACAGACGTGGATGATGAGGTTGACAGAGTGAACTATGAAATGAAAATAAGTCGTGGCTCACCCCGATCCCGTGATCATGTTGCAAGACTGGCATACACAAGACCAAGAGCCCACAATTATTGAAAAAATTAAATAAAAGGAAAGAGAGAAATATTGGGGCGCCGGTTGTATGCTGCCCTCTGCTGGTCATTTTCGGAGCAAACTTTCATCAATTTCCCTCAACAGAGGCAAAGACTCAAGAGTGAGTGAACTGAGTGTCAGGGAAGCAAGGCGTATCTGGGCAGTGTCTGAGAAAGGATCAAACTCAATCCCGTGTTATTCCAGCATCGTGATTTCTCCATCAGCTCTGCTGACCTTCTGATCTCTTCTTGAAGCTGAAGTGTAGTGATACAGGAGTGTGATACCTGTTAGCCACACTTCTCATGGGTTGGCTTCCTAATAAGAGAGGAAGCCTCCTTACTGACCTTCTTGTGCACGGGGCATGTTACATAGCTTGGCTTCTTAGTAATCCCCACTGCTCTGTGACCCTGTCTCAGGCCCTAGAGGTACTGGTTAAACTTTTCCCCATCTCTCATCAGTAATCTATATGGGAAGGTTGACCCAGAAATCCTGTGACCTGCCCTGAGATGAGTTGGTGCCAGACGTGAGTCTCTCTACTTTCAAGACAGAAGCAACCAAATCATAGCAGATGATGGAAATGGAGATGATAGTAACTAGTTCAAAACATGAATGCCTCAGGCATGGGATTAGGAAGGAGCCAGAATAACCCGTCTCCGGTAGATGCTTCCAACCAGAATATGTGCTGAAGTGGTGCTCTCTAATAATGACTCTGGGGAAGAAACACAGCAGATGGAGTGTGGTGATCCAGTTTTGTGCTAGGCCCCCAAAATGGCTTCCCCACATCCCTGCTCTCACCAAAATCCTTCATTTCCCTCACTGGTTGGTCTGATAGGCAAAGCGTGTTTTAGCCCTCATGCTGCTTCCTGCTCGGAGAAGGCAATGGCATCTCACCCCAGTACTTGTGCCTGGAAAATCCCGTGGATGGAGGAGCCTGGTAGGCTGCGGTACATGGGGTCACTAAGATTGGGACACGACTGAGAGACTTCACTTTCACTTTTCACTTCCATGCATTGGAGAAGGAAATGGCAACCCACTCCAGTGTTCTTGCCTGGAGAATCCCAGGGATGGGGGAGCTTGGTGACCTGCCGTCTATTGGGTCACACAGTCAGACACGACTGAAATGACTTAGCAGCAGCAGCAGCAGCAGCAGCTGCTGCTTCCTGCTATCTGAGAATGGCTAGGTGTCGATCCCATCCCATTTTGCTTGATGACTGGCTCAGAGTTTCATCCTTGGAGAAGTCAGTATAACTACTGTCCATTTCTGGGTATGTGCGAGGTACCAGGAACCAGGGAAACCATTGGTTCCTATTGGATTCTTCCCAGGACCACTGGTAGGCAGTTCTAAATGTGGAGCCTGTGTAGAAATGAAGAACCGGAGACTCAGCGGGCCAGTTAGACAACTTACAGGTTCTTGATCTCCACTGCATATCCTATTAACACTAACACCAAAAACCTGAGACACAACTCCCCTGCAGACGGACACAGGCTTTGCTCAGAATGGTTGTGGCTCTGGACCAGGATCCAGAGGAACAAAGTCTAGCTTATTGCTCTGTGTGATGGAGACTGCCTTGACTAATACTACAGACTCTGCCTGAATACTTGAGGAGTTATCCTTGTACCCTTCACTGACATTCTCCACTTGCCAAACCTAAGGACATACTTGGTCTTGTGTCAAACTAGTGGGCTCTAAAGATGCCACTGAGAGCACTCACACCTAAGAATAAAGTTGACTTTGTGAAGAAGGAATGACATTGGGATACAGTCATCATTTAGATGAGTAATTTGAGGACTATCATGGCCCAGGTCTCCTAATGATGTGGACAAAAGGTGATGAATTATAGACAGACACCTCCCCTCCCCAACTTCACTGAGCTTCTACATTAGTCCAGTCCATTCCAGAAACTCACAAAATCAAAGGGCAGTAGATATGGATGCATGCAGTCCTCCTGCTCCCTCACCTCTCCTCTCAATACATACAGTAGTCAGTCTTTAATTCAAGTGAAATTTATTGAAATCATAAAGCAGTTTTCATCTTTTACCTGTAATTTATCTGCTAGATAAAAGTTTATCTAGCTTATCTGCTAGATAAAACATCAACAGAAAAAAACATTTTTCCATTTCAGATGTCTCTGTGGGCTAAACTGTTCCTAGATAATATTGTGTTGCTTAAAAAAAATAGTAGGCAGACTCATCCAAAAAATGACTACTTATACTTTCTAGAGAGCATAACATAATGGGTAATTTACATAATCTCAATTCTCTAAATCCATCTTGAAATTTATTACTATCAAGAGGCGAGCTAAGACAAAGTAAAACCACTTGCATAAAAGAGATTTTTACCCTAAAAGTAAATATAGAGAGAATTCAAAGTTATTTTGAAGATAAAATAAGAAGGCTGGTAACTGAAGATCATCGTGGTATTTCAGGATTTTGGGTACTAATACACAGAGGCTGAATGAAGCCAAGTGATAACACACATCCATTTTCTGGATGGGACTGTTTATGGAAAAAAGGGAGGTCGCAGTGGATGCAAAAGAGGAAAATTACTCTTCGGAAAGAAGACATGAGTGGATGCAGGCTTCCTAGAAGAGGTGGACATCTTTCCAGGAACTTCCCAGTGAGACTCACATCTTATTCTGAGAAGAACAAAATTTTAGGTGACAGAGGAGGAGGAGGGAAAGAGTGAGAAAAACGTAGTCAAGAAGAGGAGTTTAACAGCTGGGCCGGAGACTCTGTCACTTCAGAGACAGCACCATCTTGTGTGCAGAGATCAGAGAAGCAATTATCTCTTCCAAATGTTCCACTGAGATGATTAAATACATGAAAATCCACTTCCAAAAGCTGAAGTTGGACTGCACTTTCCCTTATTCTCTGTTTTAGGCCTGTGACCTCCTGTCTGATGAGGAGGAGGCTTCGTTCAGCCTTCCGAACTTGTAACCAGTCATCAATAGCTTTCCTTTTCAGAGTTAGAATCTGCCACTGATAAGAAAAAATCGTTCTTTCCAACTGTAATTCAAGATCTTGGAATCGTCTTCGGTAGGTCTTTAGCTCTTCAGTTGCAAGATTTACCAGGCCATCGGCTTCAGAACTTTGCACCTTATGCTGTAAGTCAAGATCTGTCTTGACAGCTAATATTCCCAGATGCTCTATTCCCTTTGGGTGATGTGCTTCAGTCATATTATTTCCTTTATCACCAGGATAATAATCTGGCCTTTCAATGGAGGCTTTTTTTGCCTGGCTAACTTTATGATGAGCTATCATCTGGGCTTTCTTCTCTTTTTTGACAATATTGTAGAACTGCTTTTTCTCTCTACTATGAATGCTTAAATATTTCCTTGACATTGCAGCCTCCTTCCATTTCTTCCTAGATCCTTTTGCATGGTCATCAACTTGGTCTTTATTCCCTTGTTCCTCTAATTCCAAGTTCTCCCCAACGTCTTTCCCGCCCAGGGAAGCTGCCATTTCTTTCATCTTAAGCCAATCTTCCTGCAGAGACACCTGACTTTTCACACAGGCCATAAAGTTCACTATGGAGAGCTTGAGTCCTTGTTCAGTTGCTGGTAGGAGATTTAAGGATGCTTTAGCTTCTTGCACTTGTGTTTCAACAGCTTTCTGTTCTTGGTATAGGGCCTGGATATCTCTTGCCGTCTCAGACATAGGCTGTTCTTGGTCTGAACATCGAGGTTTTGCTTTTGTCCCATGTCTTACCATAGCACCAATGCTGTTCCTTCTTGCAGGTTTGGATGCATTCAAGTCATAAGCTAGTCCTGAGTGCTTATTTTCTTCCAAGTCAGCATGATACTGGCTAAGAGTATTACTTTTTACTATGGCTAGTGCTGAGCTGCTACTGGCATGTTCCTTGTCTCCCTTTACAAAAAACCTTTCTTTGAATGACCATACAATTCTGTCTAAAAGCAAGAGAACTAAAAACACTTGAACTATCACAACATAATCAATCATCTCCCACTGATATCCAGGGACAGTGAGACTTGCTCTCATGTCATTGCAGACTTCTGTTATTAATACTCCAGCATCTCCTGTGTGTGACAATCGTTCACATCCCCAGCAGAATGAAGTTCCTTCATAGTGGCCCAGTGAGACACAGAAGCAAGTCAGGCCACCACGGCCAACTGGACCATACCACACCATGGAGACGAGTGCTCTGTGTTCTATGTGGAACCAAACCTGCACCAGGCAACCGGGGCAGACCAATGCCTGCTGAAAGTAGGGGTGGGGAGGCCCAAAGCAATAGAGAACTCACATACCTTTCACCCTGCCACTGAACTTTCTTTCTTAAACTTCTCCTTATGTGGCCCCAATCCATTATGCACAGTATTCTCTAGTATAGAAAACCACTCCTTACATATAAAATGGGGCATACCCCTGTTTTAAAACCACTCTTTCTCACTTGAGTGGCCCAGCACACAAGACAGGGCTTGGCCATGACACTCAGTGTTCGACATGTGAAAGAATCAATGAATGAGCATTTGAATGAAGGAAGGAAGAACAAAGCCATCCTTTGCCTTCTTGAACAGTAACAACACTCTGTTGACCAGCAGCAGATAGTCCATTAAAATAGTTTGATTCCTGTGGATATAGATTAGCAGAACACTATGACTGAAAAGGTTGAACAAATTTTTAACATTAGGCCACCATGGTCCAGGCATCAGAGTTCACTGTGTTAGACTACAAGGAAATCCTCAAATTTTTTTGAAAGATAAAATACTGCAGTAGAGATCATTTCTGTAAGCTTATTTTTTTAACTAGAAAGTAGTAACCCAATTTAAAGTAAGACCGACAACTTCCTGGAAAATCCAGAGATTTGCTAAAGCATCTTTGCATACAAAAAGCCACCAAATGAAACACTGTAAAATTTTTTAGAAAATACAAACAATGAAAATACTAACAATTCCTAAGATGAGCCTATATTCATGCTTTATTCATGAAAACAGAGAACCCCATGCACAGATGTGGAAACTGAAGCTCAGTGAGGAGAGCAGCACTGCTGCCTAAACCCTCACCTTGACCTCCTGTGATTCTCAGGACAGGTTAGCACAGCATGACCCCCCTAGCCTGAGAGGCAGGCAGTTCCTCTCTGCCAACTCCAGCCCCTGGTCCCCACACATCAAGTAAGATGTTATGGTCATTTTCCCCTTTTCAGAGTGATGGTTCCTGTTTGCTTTCTCTCCAGCAGAGTATGGCCATTCTGGTTTCCTCAAGTTCAATGTCTTAAAAACTAATGTTTTATTAATTTTATTATTTCAGCTATAAATGAATGGTAGTGACTGTGTATCAATAAACTTTTTTGCTGAAACATGTAGTGGTCTGGACTTGGTCCCAGGGCCTGTGATCTGCTAACCCATGATTGAGAGCAACTCTAATCAACATATTAGATTCCCAAGAAAGATTGAAGAATGGTTTCCACCACTACAAAATTGTTGGAAATTTCTAAGTCTCATAAGTTCTAATTATAAGTGTTTTTTAAAGTCCAAAGAGACTAACATTAGTAAACATTTATTGATTTAAGTTGTCTAAGATGATATATGAATTAACAAAAAGAGCTAGAACTAAAATTTAGAAATCCTATTGCATAGTTCTTGGATGTTTATAACTATGCTTTCCAGATAAGAAAATTTTTCTCAAGTTAAAAAAGTAATTCTCTTTGTGAGTTTTGGAGAGTGTTTTTCATTAGAATTTTAAAAATCACATGAGCTATAGAATATAGAAATATGCTTATATCATAAAGAACATTTCTATTTTCTCCTTAATCTTCATAATAGTGTTTTACAAAATAAAACCTGACTCTATTATCATACTTAATTTCATTTCATTGTTATAATTATTATCATCATCATTATTATCACTCTGATGATGAGGAAGACATCATTCCAGTTGCCTTAACCACCTCATTCATGGTGACTTTTTTTTCTCAAGACAGCAGAGGGCGCTCCTCTATTTAAGATGTATTATCCACCAGGAAAACTGTTTCAAGATTATGGAAAAGCAAGAAATTTGTTTCAATAAAATTACTGTCTTTATGGTTTTCTTCAGCTTGCTGGTTTCAAAGGAGATAATTTCCTGAATGTAAGTATCATTAGTATTCTTACCCATCCAATCATCCTTTAAAATGTAATATAAGCATCTGCTAAGAAAAGTTATCTACTCACATTAAAAAAAAACAAATTGATGAAGAATTTAAGGAGATACCAAAAATGCTGGAATTTTTCCAAACTACGCCCAATAATTTTGCAGAGCCAGTTTTAACAAAATATTTTCTTGTGGAATATTTCAACCCTAAAAAAGCAGAAAAAATGATAAACATGCAACCCTTAATTCTTCTCCACACCAACCACCTCTCCACAACACAGTGAATGATCTTGAACCCGGTTCTAGTCATCATATCAATCCTGCCACAAATTTTGTATGTATCTACAAATGATAAGGCTATATACACGATAGGGCTTCTCTCATAGTTCAGTGGGTAAACAATCTGCCTGCAGTCCAGGAGACCTGGGTTCGATCCCTGGGTCAGGAAGATCCCCTGGAGAAGGAAATGGCAGCCCACTCCAGTACTCTTGCCTGGAGAATCCCATGGACAGAGGAGCAGCCTGGAAGGCTACAGTCCATGGGGTCGCAAGAGTCTGACATGACTTAGTGACTAAATCATCATAAACAATAAGAACTTAAAAACCATTAAAAAAAAGACAGTACCATTATTGTGTCTTAAAAGATGAACAATAATTCCTTAATATTGTCAAATATCATTTTTCACAAATTTTTACACTAACTGGTTCAATGAATCTATACTAAGATGTATATACTGCATTTGATTATTGTCTCTGAGTCACTTTTAATTTATAGCTCACTTCTCTCTCTTTTTATTCCTGTTAGTTTTTAAAATTAATTTATTTTAATTGGAGGATAATTACTTTACAATATTGTGATGATTTTTTTTAAAGAAATTAAATTTACCTTGCTAATCTTGTTACTCAAAGTGTGGTCCATGGATCAGCAGCATTGACAACTCCCAAGAGCTTATTATACATAAGAAGACTATCCCAAACTACTCTATCAGAATTTATATTTTAACAAGATCTTGGACAATTTATACACATGTTAAGGGCTTCCCTGGTGGCTCAGATGGAAAAGAATCCCTCTGCAATGTGGGATACCCGGGTTTGATCCCTGGGTTGGGAAGATCCTGTGGAGAAGAGTATGGCAACCCACTCTAGTATTCTTGCCTGGAGAATCCCCATGGATAAAGCAGCCTGGCGGGCTACAGTCCATGAAGTCTCAAAGAGTCGGACACAAATGAGCCACTAACCACACACATATACATGTTAGTTTATGAAGCACTTCTGTAGGGTTTCTTACAGTATAGATTACGGTGTTTTACAATTCTGTGATGCCATTTAGTATGCTCCTCGCACCTGCATTTTTTGTTAACTGCAATTAAATCTGGAAGATCTATCCTACTGAATTTTAATTTCTTGACAGGATGACAGGACTCCTTCCTAAATGTTTTGTGTATTTTACTGAGAGTATCATAATGTTCGATTTTGTCACTTTTTGTGTTAGCGGCCACTGATTATTCTTTTTGCCTATTTATTTAAAGGTTTACAAAATAGTGTGCTAATTTTATCATCCCTACTTTTATCAACTGAGATAATTTTCTAAAGAGAAAAATTTTCTGCATCTGCTATTTTATTGATCTAAAATTTGTACAGGAAATGTAAGTTAAGTAGCACTTTCCCTTTCCTCACCTTTTTTTAAAATCAGTTTTCAGAATATCACATTAGTGCTCAAGCATGTTCCAAAGATGTCCAAAATAGATGTTGTTTTGAAGTATAAATATGAACTTGTAGAATTTTAAAAATTATATTTGATGATTTAATTCATCAAATGTTACTACTATTGATTACTCAGTTATTTTGTTAATTATTCAGTTGTTATTCTTATTGATTCTCAACTTGTCCCAATTTTTGCTATTTAGATACACTTCATGCTGTCTCCTGATCCCTTTTGACATGACCACAATCTCAATATTTTTTGATAGCTTTTCTTGCTTCCTATCACAAAATATTGCATGCTCCTTTTATACATTCCCTGTTCTAGTCATGAAATCAACCATTTTCCCAGTTTGATTCAGTATAAAATGGTATTTGAAGATCAGAATCTATGCACTAATGGTGCCCATAGCTACTGAATATAACCTTTGGTTACTATTTCTAAGATGTTTTACCGGACAGTACAAAGAAATGCACATTTATAAGAACATCTTGTGCTTACAGGAATAATTTCAAATTTAAATTTATTATACAGAATTTCTGGTAACTTCTATAGTTATACTTTCTCTTATGAAAAAGTTATACTTCTTTATAACTTTTTTAATTATGAAAAATCTTAATTATTAATGAATTAAGATTATATTAACATAATTATTCATAGTTCTATTATGCTTGTGAAATAGTATTAGAATAACAATACAAAATTATGACTAGTGATATAATTATTAAAAACAACTTTAAGTTTTTCTGATTTGTTTTAAAGTTATTTTGTTCTTAGAACATACCCCACTAAAAATGGACAAATTATTGTACTTTAATCTGAAATAACTCCCATTGTTTCAGTTAAGCCACCAACTGAACACAGTCAGGTTTATTTATTTCATTTTGCTCTTCATTTTTAAGAAAACATTAATTGTCTTATATCTGTAGATAATTTTCACTATTCCAAAGTCAAATAGTGAAACAAGATAGATTCTGAGAAGTGTAACTGTGAAGAACTGCTCTTTAAAAATTATTCTTGGGTTGATTTCACAACATAGAACAACAGCCAAGCTAGGTCAAAAGTGTGTATGTTCCAGGGCAAAATGCAGCCAAAATAGGAAACCTGGGCTTTTTTCATGCTCCTGAAAATGAGATGCAGGGCAATTAAACTTATTTTCGACAACATACCCTAATTATTTTAGAAAGTGCTTGTGTATGTAATTTATAGTCTTTTGCTAAGCTGTAAAGAAATCATGGCACATACTGTGAACAATTCTACCACATTGCTGGGGACTTAGTACATGAGGGGAAGAGAGGCAACTCTATATTTTGTGTATTATACATTATGAATATATCATGTATGATTATTTCATCTTTCTA